TTTCTCGATAGTCGAATTAAAATAATGTACAAATAATCGGTATGTCTACCCAAATATTTGTATTCATTAAAAATATAGTTTAAAGCAATAAAAATACGACAGATTATTAAATAAGAATCCATTAATTCTCCGTACAATTATATATATATATATATATATATATATATATATATATATATATATATATATATATATAGAGAGAGAGAGAGAGAGAGAGAGAGAGAGAGAGAGATAAGAGAGAGAGAATTAAGTGGATAAAAGTAAAACTGATTGATATTGCCGTCAGCGCCCAGACACCAGAGTTTCGTAAGCGGACCACTCTTCAATCGGTATTAGCAATTTACTGCTCATATATTTTCGATTTTTTCCTTTTAATATACATTTAACATTGCTGTCTGCGTGGATGTGAATGTTTGTAGGGTGTCGTGATCATTTGTCTCTTTCGATTTTTGTTTGTTTCTCTTTTTTTTTTCACTTTACACTCGCTCATTAGCCTCTCTTCTTTTTTTTTCCTTTTCCCTCTTTTCTTTCGACTTTAACTGTTTATGCCACGATTCGTTCCAACTCTAGACATGTGAAAGATCTTTATTTTGGGTTCTCTCTTCTCTCTCTCTCTCTCTCTCTCTATATATATATATATATATATATATATATATATATATATATATATATATATATATATTTATTTAAGGAAGTTGTATTTCGTTTTTACATAAACAATTGATATTAATGTTTAAATGGTCAATATTTTTTATTTAATTTTTCACTATACAAGTTACATAGAAGTTTCTAGATTAAATTTCTGTCCGTGCTTGATATTAATGTCCCCATTTTGTACCTCAGATCCTGGACTGTTTCACTTGTTAATGACTATACATTCTGTCTTCTTATGATCGATAGTTAGTCCTTTCTTCTCGCTTTCCTTTAAAACCTTCTTTAGGAATTCCTACAGTTTTCCGTATCTACCATCAACACGGTATCACTTACGTGTTCTATGGCATCATTTTTCGAATCTTGCCGAAGGGTGCATTTTCCTTTAATAAGATTTCCCGGATGTTCAGGCCGATAGACGAAATCAAATACTGTTTAAAATAAACGGAGCGTCTACTAAAATATGGGTATCCACTATAAATAACATTTAAATAGTCCTTTCTTCTGGCTTTTCTTTAATCACTTGTTTAGGAATTCCTGTAGTATTTTGTATCTGCCTTAAACACGGTATCATTTGCCTGTCTTATGCTATGATTGTGCTCCTCCAAAATAAATCCCGATAGAACTTCTAGTTCTCTTGGAATCTGCTGAGAAGACGCATCTTACACCTATTTTCAGTTTTCTGTTCTGTCTCCAGGTTCTATCCACATGGAGTCGACTTGTAAATATTCGGAATTATTAGACCATCTTTCTCGTGTCTAAAAATCTCGTTTGAATGTTTTTCGTTTATTTAAAACAAATATTAATGAATGCTCTTCTGGCATGTCATCCCCTCACGTATTTATTTAATTATGGATTTATTTAATCTTTTATAGCCGCTGATCCATGCGCTCCGGACAAAACTGGAGACTACTTTCCTCATCCGACTTCCTGTACGATGTTCATCCAATGCGCTTTCGGACGTAGTCACGTGATACCTTGCAAAACAGGCCTGGTCTATGACCCCGTGATTAAAAACTGCCTTGCTCACTCAATGCATGCAGACTGCACCAATCAACGCTAGAGGCAAGCGAAAAAGAAATTAAGGCTGCTGGGAAAGTAATGGACTTCACCTGCATTTTAGTTCCTCGATCGCGATAAAATGCCTGGTTGTATATATTGTCAAAGAAAAATGCAACAAAGTTGTTTTGTTTTTGTTTTTTAAATAAAAAGAGTGAAAAAATGAAGAATGTAAAAAACGTCAGAATCGAGAGATATGTATAAAATTTATGAACATGACATTTATCTTTTGTAACAATCATTCAAACAGATTTTTTTTTTTTTGTTAATTTTTTGTATTTTCATCTTTTTTTAGATTTTTATATCCGATATTTTCTTTGTTATTTTAATAAAATGTTTTAATCTTAAACCTGTATTTTAGAACTACTCGTCTCATTTTTATAATTACAGAAGCTATCTTAAATAAAAAGAATGAGATCAATAGTCTGAATAACTCTAGGAATGATAATGACTCTTCTCAAAATGATACAAGGTATCTTAAACAAAATGAATGAGATCAATAGTCTGGACAACTCTTGCAATGATAATGACTCTTCTCAAAATGATAGAAGGTATCTTAAACAAAAACAATGAGATCAATAGTCTGGACAACTCTTGCAATGATAATGACTCTTCTCAAAATGATATAAAGGTATCTTAAACAAAAAGAATGAGATCAATAGTCTGAACAACTCTTGGAATGATAATGACTCTTCTCAAAATGATAGAAGGTATCTTAAACAAAAACAATGAGATCAATAGTCTGAAGAACTCTTGTAATGATAATGACTCTTCTCAAAATGATAGAAGGTATCTTAAATAAAAAGAATGAGATCGATAGTCTGAACATCTCTTGGAATGATAATGACACTTTTAAAAATGATAGAAGGTATCTTAAACAAAATGAATGGAAACAATAGTCTGTACAGCAGTTGGAATGTCAATGCCCCCCCTCCTAATGAAAAAAAGTATCTTAAACAAAAAGAATGAGGTCAATAGCCCAAAACAACTCTTGGAATAATAAAGATAATTCTCAAATTTACAGCTTCCGTACTTTATGCATAGTACAACATGAGAATTTAAATATTTGTATTTTTTTTAATCACATGGATAGGCAAATAAACATTTCATAAAAAGTTCTGTTATTTGTTATTTGTTTTCATTTGATTATTCATGCTACTTTCAAATTGTTGATGTCAACATCAAACAGGTGCAGAAGTGCTTTGATGAAGACGGACACTTTCGATCCGGCCCCTCAACATCCGGCGTCTTACTCTCGGGGTTGAAGTGTCTACTCGGTCCTAACCGAACTTAAGGGAGTGACCATAGGTTCCCTGAGCATCCGTAGATTATTCGACCGGTCCGCTGATTTAACCCTGCTTCCTGCCCACGTTGTGATTTGTTTGATCCAGAAAGCAGAAGTGATGTCCGTCCATTCTCGGTCGACTGAAGATGTAGACACGGCTGAGGAGTCTGCACTAAGAAATTTAGAATGCAGCAAAAAAAAATAATAATAATAATAATAATAATATTTGCATAAAGCCGGACAAGCAACTATTCAATGGTTGAATTGGTAATGTCTTTTATATTGCAGAAAAGAATAGTAGAGAAGAGAAACGGGTTAGAGAAAAGAAAAGTATTTAACGTAAAAACTCATACACTGGATTCTAGACAGAGAGAGAGAGAGAGAGAGAGAGAGAGAGAGAGAGAGTATGATTATCTTGTTGTTAAATCGTCTCAGAACGATATATGACTCCTGCGATGGAGGGATAAAGATTTCTGTGCGGGGCTTAAAGTTATAATGGCGTTCCTCCTCCCAACGCTCGCCCGGGCCAATTCACTCTTCTCTCTTTAAGAATTTTCTCCCGTCTTCCTTTTTCAGCATAACTACGCGTTTATATAGATAAACCCGGCTGATTATAACTGACCCTCGGCCCTACTACTTCGGACGCGATTATCACGGGGTTCTGGCTGCTTCAACCAAAATCATGTGAATTCCAAAGTTCCTTCTAGCTTACTCAGCTCTATTTCAATTTTTAATCGATAAAAATTATTTCGACCATTTCCATTGTCTACTGATGACCCAGATTCAATGGGTACAACTTCTGCCCTAGATCAGATTTCCCCATCTGTAAACAAAATGCTCTGATTTAATTTCGCTATTCAAATCTACTCCAATTTCACTAAAAAAAATATACGTGTGTGTGTTTCCCAGACTCTCTCTCTCTCTCTCTCTCTCTCTCTCTCTCTCTCTCTACTGTCGAAACACTGTTAAACACTTTCCTTTCTTAAGAGAAGATAAGGATAATAATAATAATAACAGTAATTATAATAATGATAATGACAATAATAATAATCCCTGTTGTAGTTGGAGCCCTCGGATTGGTTGGAAAATATTCCAGTAGACTCATTGAGAGGATTCCTGGAAGTCCATGCCTTAAAGAAAGGCAAAAAAAATGTTCTCACGAGTAGAGCCCGCACCTTACGAAGGGCTTTATCTATGTAAAAAATGTGTGTGTTTTTTGTTTTCTTTTTTAATTGGTCAGTGGAAAATGTCATGATGCCATTCCTGACCTTCGGTCTCTGGTTGGGACCGGGAAAGAAATTACTATACACCAGAAATCAAAGGAAATAATAATAATAATAATAATAATAATAATATCATCAACAATCCCTGTTGTAGTTGAAACCCTAGGATTGGTTGGAAAACATTTCAGCAGACTAATTGAAGGGATTCCTGGAAGTCCATGCCTCAAAGAGATACAAAAAAATGTTCTCACAAGTACAGCCCACACTTTACGAAGGGCTATATCTATGTAATTTTTTTTTTTTTGTCAGTGGAAAGTGTCATGATGCCATTTCTAACCTTAGGTCCCTGGGTGGGACCCGGAAAGAAATATGTAAACGCCAGAAATTAAAGGAAATAATAATAATAATAATAATAATAATAATAAAATGATTGACGTAACTCTTCCAATATTTGCAACCCTTAGAGAAGAGAACGATTTCAGAAAAGAAAAAGGAAAGGCACAATGTTTAAGGATATTTCGATCGTATGTTTGTCTAGCGCTGGTAAATGATTTAACAGAAGATAGAAAATGTGACACTGAGATCCAAACATGAATTGGACTCGTGAAAGATGCCTTCCAAAAGCTAAGTAAGGTGCTGGGAAACGGAAAAGATTCTTTAGAAATAGCGATAAGAATGCTGGATTGCTATGTGTGATCCATCCTCTTATAATGGCAAGTGAATATTGGACAATCTCTCCACGGATGAGGAGAAAACTAGAAGCAACAGAAACGGCCTTCTCCAGAAGAGTACTGAAAATTCCATGGTTGGAACGAATAAGCAACAAGGAAGTCTTAAAAAAAATGGCAACAGAAAGAACACTTCTACTCAGAATCAGGAAAAGACAGCTGAAATTCCTTGGATACATAATCGAACTAAACAACACAGTAACTGCTAAACTCGTTCGTTGACCATAACTCTATAGCGAAGCATCAATATCCGCTTATCCCCCTGGCACAAGATCACAATTTTGGAGCACTCAGTGAGTATCGAAAAACAACTATTCATCAGTAAATATTTGTTATACTAAGTTGTAAGCACACCGATGACGTGCTAATTTTCTTAATTTAATTATAAAATTTTATTATTTGTTTGGTTTTAAAATTAAACAAACATTTCCTGCTTGTTTCTTCAGTAATTTTCAAATAATAAATTCGATGTAGGTATTGTGGATTTTAGATGTAAATGGGTAACATTTCGAAAACTTTATAACATTTTTGAATCGGTATCTGTCTATATTTCTGACATGAGGTATTATGCAAACTATTTACATTATTCGGATTATTGTTCTCATCTTTGTTACCATATTAACCCGATCCTTCAATATCTGTCTATATTTCTGAGATGAGGTATTATGTACATTATTTACATTATTCGGACTAATGTCCCCATCTTTGTCGCCATATTTATTACAACGTTTCGGCCGTTGTACGCTCCGGCCTTCTTCAGGACACATGGCACAGTGGATAAAGACGATAGTTAGATCCAGGACCCAAAGAGTGTGAGTTCAATACCCAGTGAAGGCAGTGGAGAATTTGGAGAGGGGAATTAACAGGAGATAACTGACAACTGCCATCCATTAAAAATGTATGGATATATGGAACTAGAACAGTCTACCCCTGTGAGCGAAATAAAGGGTTCAGTTCGACATTCCAACCACTTGAAGAAGGCCGGAGTGTACAACGGCCAAAACATTGTAATATATATGGCGACAAAGATGAGGGCAATAGTCCAAATAATGTAAATAGTGTACTTTTGAATCGATTTAAGAAGGAAATCATTGGGTTCTTTTCAAAGATTGAAACTATAATATTCTGTTGTTCAAAAACTTGCAAGCAAATTTTTACCAATTTAAGTCTTAAGACTTTTTTTAATCATTTCACACCAACCAAATCAATAAAGCCACTAAGACACAAGGGTCACATTATTAGTGATTGAGAACAATGAAAGAACAGGAATTAAGACTAGAAATCAATAACGATTGACATTGCATTTAAATTTTTGAAGATCAAAGTTCACTGGGAAGCAAGAGGCCGGAAGTGAATTCCACAAGCGAAAATTGAGCGGGAACAACGGAAGAGTAATCAGGAAGACAGCAGATAAAAATTGACATTGCATTTAAATTTTTGAAAGTTCACTTGAAAGCAAGAAACTTCCACAAGCGAAGAGAAGCGGGAGAAGAAACTCTTAGCATAGAACTTACGGTTACCACTAGCCGTTTCAACAGTAAAATGGTGAGACCTTTCCGCCAATCTAGTACTGCGCTTAAATTCATAGAGTCTAGATACCATAGTGGAAAGTTCCTCAGAACAATTTACCAAGAAAGGATTTATAGAAAGGACACGTGTAATATACGTTACGTCGGTGGGAAAGTAACTGAAGCCATATGCCAGGTGAGGATCAATAACATTGCAGATTCTTCATTGGATTTTATCAAGAATCTCTAAATATATAGCAGGAACAATATTCAAAGCAAGGACGAATATTTGAAATTACTTGCAATAAAAACAATATATAAAGAAGTAATTTATACAAAGAATTAATCAGCAATGTCAATCTGAATAATAGTGATATTACTTCGCTAACATGATTTAACAAGGTATTAACTTACTATTAATTCCTTGAAAAATATGATATTTATATTTGAGTTGTTGTCAGATGGAATTAACGAGCCAAGTACTTTCGACAATTTCAAATTATCATCTTCAGGGGCGCAATTTTTTAAATATGCTATTCATTTAGAGTTATATTATTTTGGAGTGTGCTATGCTGCGACTCTAGAGTTATTGTTCAAATCAATCGAGAGTTTAGTTTGAATTTTGTAATGTGATAAATCCACGAAGCTGAACAAAACTACTACACTTTGAATTCAATTCCTCGCTACACAAGTGGTTTACATCTAATTTTAAATCGGAATCATTAAGTCTGGGATTTAGGCAACACCCTTCTTCTCAAATTTCCATCAAGCCGAATCAACATCACCTGTTCCCGGCATATAATCGATTTTTCTGCAAGTAACTACCATTATCGACAGACCTGTAAGCTGTATGTTTGAATTACCTGGCAATATACAGACACACACACACGCACACACACACAAATATATATATATATATATATATATATATATATATATAGTTTATGCAAATTTAGGTAATCCGTATGGGTAGACCTGAGGAGGATGATATCCAGAGAGCTCAATGTAAAATTCAGAGCAGATATGTTTGAATAAAAGACAGACCACGTTAAGATTCCATGTAATAAGCTATTTCACCATAACCCCTTTAACAGGGTTCTGGATCATCAGACTTTACTTCCAAAAGCTGAAATGAAAAATGAAAAGAAATTCACACGTTTTTTACGGACCTCATCAAGTATACGTAAAGTTAACGAAGTGAGGAAGTGAGGTGGGAGAGAGGATATGAGTGTGTCATATGTATCATTTTAGTTTCCTATTTTAACCCCAGTGTGTCGGCTTGATGTTGCTCAAATTTAACGCGTCTCGTCTTTAGATATAGGTGGCTAAGGGGTGAATGATAAGAGCGACATTAAAGGAAGAAGTTACAACAGCCTCAATAAATTACACGACAGGTTTCATTCAAATTCTTAGACGCTGTCAGTTCGCGTTACTTTAACGTGCATATTTGGGAGGTTAAGGTTTGATAAATATCTAAATGTTAAAACAATCTACGAAGAAATTAATTTGAAATTCGGTGGAGTTTTGGGTATTTTCTATGAAACAGTCGATTGGAAGAATCCATAGACAGAACATTGAAAGAGCAATCCATTTTATATTTAGTAATTTTTTTTTCCTAAAACTTTTATCTTATAGCTCTATATCTTTACACATATAATATTATGAAGAAAAGAATATTTATGGCAAAATATATAAGTACCTATCTAATTGTACATCTCTACCTAACAACAAAAAAAAACAAAAAAACTGGTATGCTTCTTTTTTCCGTATAAAAACATATACATATTCAACAGGTGTCTCCATTGTGCAAATACATTATCATAGTTTATACATATAGTCATATGTTAGCGTTATAACGTGTGCATAGTAATATTTATAAAAACAAAGGGAATATAAAACATTCAAATTGCTGTTCCTATATGATTAATTCTTAGTGTACTTGCTTAGGTTTAGTTGTTTTTTATTTGCATTTAAAAAACTAGTTCATTATGTCTATTTAGTAGTATGTCTGGATCTTTATGTTTGATTATGAAGAAAAATATATTTCAAACATAAGTTGCATCTATCTCTAAAGTTTTGGGAGTTCTGGCTCTTGATATTATTCTCCACTTTATTTGTGGTGTAGGGCACTCTCCAACAAAACCAATAATGATTTGATAGTGCTGTTTTTTTTTTTTAACATTTATTTTTTGAAGGATTGGCGATGATTGTACAGTCGGTGTTTCCAATCTCCCGCTGATATTCTATGTATATCTTTTTCTCTTCAACCTTTTCTTTGGGGAAAATTTTTGCTTCATATAATATATTTTCTCTGCCATGCATATTCCTTCAACTGGGCACTCTGATCCTGTCCTGCAGTTGCATGTTGATTTTTCCATTCGTGTTGTATCCTGATTTTGTCTTAGATTATCCTGAAGGTCTCTTAAAATTTTACTGTATTGTGAGCTAATAATTCTTTCCATATTGTTCATGCAAGAATAGATAATCTTTAGATTCATCTTGTTG